CTCTGCAACATAGTGTTGCAGATTCTCAGCATAACTGCTGTCTGTGCCTCTAGGCGGGGCGGCCAAGGACACTTGGGCCTAGTACGCAGAGCTGCTGCGAGTGCTTCCAGGCGGGGGGGTGCCAAGGACACCTGGGCCTAGTGCGAGGAGGCTTCATCGACACTCATCGTCTTCCATCCCCTCGAGTTACCTAGTGGCCATGCCCCAGTGTCCCCAACAGTTTCCTAATGACATGATAATTACTTTCCCTTAGAGCCTGGAAAGATTGTACCCTCAACTACAGGAACCCGTTTCCCCTTGGGACTTGAACTTAGTTTTGCCTAAACTTATGAGACCACCATATAAGCTTTTGCATCTTTCCTGGAAGGTGGCTTTCCTAAGTGCTGTCACTTCTTCTGCCAGACCAGTCTCTGAACTGCACGCCCTCACATCTGAATCACCATACACAATCGTCTTTAAAAATAAGGTGGACTTATGGCCTCCTCTGAGGTTTCTCTCTAAGGTAGTTTCAGATTTTTCATATTAATCAATTTACTTGCCTGTATTTTACTCCAAACCACACACACATAGAGATGAGCAATGGCTCCACACACTGGACATTAGACAAGCACTGGTGTCCTACATAGACAGGACCAAACCATTTCAGTGATCCACCCAATTGTTCATGGCCGTTGCAGGCAAAATGAAAGATCTTCCAATCTACACACAGAGAACTTCACCTTGGATAACTTCTTGTACCCACACATTATGATCTGGCAGACATGTCTCCTTCAGACAAGCTGCCTGCCCACTCTGCAAGTTCCCAAGTATCCTCAAAGGTATTCCTAGAGCAGATCCCTATTCTGGACAGTTACAAAGCAGCAGCCTGGTAGTTGGCGCACACTTTCTCTCCCATTACTCCACCACTTTGTATTCAAGAGAGGATGCCAAATTTGCCTGAGCTGTACCCCAATCTGTGTACAGGAACTCCAGTCGCTCTACCTATTTAACTGCTTGGGAGTCACCAAGAGTGCATGTGCGATCGCTTGAAGAAGAAAAAAACTAGTTACTAACCGTTTGTAACAGTTGGTCTTTGAGGTGTGTTGCACATGTTCATTCCAGGACCTGCTGTCTTACCCCTCCGCAGCGGAGTTTCTGGAAAGAAGGCACTGAGGGGACTCTGGGTCGGCTGGGCCCTTTAGACCAACTCTAATGGCAGCAGATGGCACTTGAGCCGCTCTGACAGGTGACACTGAGGGGGAAAAACATTTCTGGCACCACCAAGAGCGGAATGGACCTGTGCAACACATCTGACAGAACAACCGTTACGCAAGGTTAGTAACTGTTTTTCTTTTCTGCTCACCTGAACTCTTTAACTATTCATGGTAAATAGGCCCAATGGCCTGTGATGGGATGTTAGATGGGGTGGGATCTGAGTTACTGCAGATAATTCTTTCCTGGGTATCTGGCTGGTGAATCTTGCCCATATGCTCAGGGTTTAGCTGATCGCTGGATTTGGGGTCGGAAGGAATTTTCCTCCAGGGCAGATTGGAAGAGGCCCTGGAGGTTTTTCGCCTTCCTCTGTAGCATGGGGCACTTGCTGGAGGATTCTCTGCTCCTTGAAGTCTTGAAACCATGATTTGAGGACTTCAATAGCTCAGACATAGGTGAGAGGTTTATCGCAGGAGTGGTGGGTGAAATTCTGTGGCCTGCGTTGTGCAGGAGGTCGGACTAGATGATCATAATGGTCCCTTCTGACCTAAATATCTATGAGTCTATAAACTCACCAGAGAATCATAGAATATCAGGGTTGGAAGGGACCCCAGAAGGTCATCTAGTCCAACCCCCTGCTCGAAGCAGGACCAATTCCCAGTTAAATCATCCCAACCAGGGCTTTGTCAAGCCTGACCTTAAAAACCTCTAAGGAAGGAGATTCTACCACCTCCCTAGGTAACGCATTCCAGTGTTTCACCACCCGCATAGTGAAAAAGTTTTTCCTAATATCCAACCTAAACTTCCCCCACTGCAACTTGAGACCATTACTCCTCGTTCTGTCATCTGCTACCATTGAGAACAGTCTAGAGCCATCCTCTTTGGAACCCCCTTTCAGGTAGTTGAAAGCAGCTATCAAATCCCCCCTCATTCTTCTCTTCTGCAGACTAAACAATCCCAGTTCCCTCAGCCTCTCCTCATAAGTCATGTGTTCTAGACCCCTAATCATTTTTGTTGCCCTTCGCTGGACTCTCTCCAATTTATCCACATCCTTCTTGTAGTGTGGGGCCCAAAACTGGACACAGTACTCCAGATGAGGCCTCACCAATGTCGAATAGAGGGGAACGATCACGTCCCTCAATCTGCTCGCTATGCCCCTACTTATACATCCCAAAATGCCATTGGCCTTCTTGGCAACAAGGGCACACTGTTGACTCATATCCAGCTTCTCGTCCACTGTCACCCCTAGGTCCTTTTCCGCAGAACTGCTGCCTAGCCATTCGGCCCCTAGTCTGTAGCGGTGCATTGGATTCTTCCGTCCTAAGTGCAGGACCCTGCACTTATCCTTATTGAACCTCATCAGATTTCTTTTGGCCCAATCCTCCAATTTGTCTAGGTCCTTCTGTATCCTATCCCTCCCCTCCACCAAGAACTTTCAGTTGGACTGTTTTTCAGTGTTTTGCTTTAAACGTAGGTGTTGTGTTGCCGTATGCTCTTAAACAGCTGCTGTGTTTCATCCTGGAAGTAGTTTTGTTTCAGTAGTGGAGTTAGCAATTCTTCTGTAAATATAGGGCCTGGGCCTGCTCCCAGTGAAGCAGGAGAGTTTTGCCAATGGGCTCAGAAGTAAACATACTTTGAGAGTCTTCAGGATGAAGCATGGTCTATCACTGTAGAATGTTAATACATTTCAGACCCCCCCAGTGGTACTTCGAGAAACTAAACCAGTCCTGGAAACAGAGGAGGAAGTAGACTGTAGCAGAGGCGACTGAGCTATGGAGCTCAGTCGATACCTGCCTTCAATAGACTTTACCAGTCCTCATTTTAGCCCAGCCCCATGTGTGTCGGGCTATTTGTATTGATTATCATATGTTGCATTTATTTATTCTGGGCAGTAACTTGTAATTAAAACATTTACTACTGGTTCATTAGGGCTAGAAATGTTAAATTGCAGGCGGTGTTATAATTATCATATTAAAGAAACCTAGCACTGCTTTAAGTGGGGTGATGTAAAGCAGGGATGTGTTTGCGTGCATTTTCTATTCCTGATCCGGGCCCGCCAATCCTGTCCACATTGCATGTTGTGGGGATGGAGCCTGGCACTGAGCCCAGACATTTGCTGCATGTACTGTCAGTGTAATCTGTCCTTGAGGTGATGTTGCTGGCTTCCATTCAGTGGCCAGACCCTTTGAATTAGAGAAGGAACTTGAAGAATAAATTTGGGAGAGTCAGTTAACTTTAAATAACTACTGGTGTGAATGCTAGCGCATTCCTGCAGCTAAAAGCCCTTGAGGGCTGAGGGGATGGGTCCATCCATACATTATCAGGAGGCTTAGTTGGATTTCTGATGAAAACTTGCCATACCTTAGGTTGACTCCATTATCTTTTAACACTGAAATGGCTCCCCTCCAGGGGCTTTCCCTGAATAAGCGGCGGACCGGCTTTGAGAACCACTGGTCTACACCACAATTAGATGCCCGGAGCTGGCCTATGCCAGCTAACTCAGGCTTGCGGGGCTCAGGCTGCAGGGCAGTTTCTGGAGGTAGCCCAAGCTCTGGGACCCTCTCATGCTACTGGCCAGGTCCTAGAACCCAGGCTCAAGCCAAGCCCAGAAGTCTACACTGCAATGAAACAGCCCCGGAGCCTGAGCCTGAGCCAGGTTTTTAATTGCAGTGTAGACATGCCTAATGAGTAGTTTCATTGTATGCCATTGCACAGTCTCTCAAATAGAATAGTTTTAGGAGGCTTTACATTTGGGCTGCTGGCACAGGGTCTTTAGCATACCATCTCTCCCCTCAGCAACGGATGATATAGACCAAAAGTGGGCCTAAGAACAAAGCATTGGCTAACTGTTATCTGAAATATTAGTCTTCAGGGTTTCTGTTGTTTAATTTTTCCTTTTGTAGGTTTGGTTTGTTGTGTGCCTTTCCTTTCAGCTAGAAGCCCTGTGTGTTGGTTGAAATGTCAGGACTTTTATCCCCTTCCCACTGCTTTACATCCCTAGGGCCTTCTTCTGATTTAGACTAAGGCCATGTCTAATGTCTAACAATATAAACTTTTGCTGGCATAGCTGTGTCGGTTAGGGTGTGATCTGTGACCAACCCAGCTGTGCCAGCCAAAGAGCCTAGTACAGATGCAGTTATATCGGCCAAACTATGCATTTAGCAGTATAACTTGTTTTTCTTGGGGGAGCTGGTAAAAGCTTCGTTCACTATGCTACTGGCAAAGTACACTTTCCTGGTAAAGCACTCCTAGGGTAGTGGTACCAATCTAACTCCTACTGATTTTCTTTACACTGCCAGAATGGCGCAAAGGGCCTTAGTGAAAATGAGAACTGGGCCACGAGCGTGGATCCTTTGTAATGCAATCCCTGGTTTCAGAACCTGTCAGTGTCAAAAACATTGCAGTCCGGCTCTCCTCCCTGGGGGAATTACCTTCACATTACTCCTACCCCTAATTTAGGGGTGAAAACTAATTTAGGCCTTTGCCAACAGCAGCCCTATTTTCCATGCTGGAGACCAAAAGTCTACTTGCAATCTTGAAGGCCAGACTGCAGATCTTTCTAAGAGATTGGCTGTAGCCCAAACACAAGTTATGGGGTTGGTGCAGGAATTAGTGTGTGATTCTATGGTCCGTTATGCAAGAGATCTGACTGACTAGATGAGCATCATGGTCCTGTCTGGCATTACTATCTGATACAATTTGTTGCTTACCTCAAAGTGTGTGGGTGGTTTTTTTTTTTTTTCTTCTTTAAAAACCCCACCCTAATCTGTATATTAGAATGCAAGACAGAAATAAAACACACAGAGAAACTCTTTCTTCAATTTAATTGAAGTTACTTAGAAAAATAATCAGGCTTGAATGGCTTTTTTTCTCTTCAGGGAAAGATTCATGAGCAGTTCACACTTTTGTTGGCAATGTATAAGTTAGCTTTTTTTGTTTTTGTTTTATTAATAGTATATTCAGATATGAGGAGATACTTTTCTACAACAAGCCTTCTACTGCATACAAATAGGTAAAAAAAAATCAAACTGCACATCGATGTTAAATTATATATACATGTATTGTGCATGCATGTAAGAAAATAACACTCTCTGTAACAAGAGTAATAGTAAGGACAGTCCCTTTTTGTACCTGAAAAGTGCAGCAGACTACAGTAAAACAGCAGGGGTCAATTTACTTCTAAAAGCACTTTGCTGTTGCAGTGTGTAAGACTTGGTTAGACAGTCTCGGAAAAGGTCTCTCAAAAAGTTTCTTAGGAGGCTGAAGCATGGAGGAAGTCAGATTTCTGAGAACTCTAACTAGATGACATTTCATGATGTGGACTAAGTATAGTTTGGAGTCCACAAGCTTACAGGTTTGGATCCACTGTATCTATCAACACTGATAACTACTAGAGCATGAAGACATGGACTCAGGATTTGTATGTACTGTTTGGGATCAACATTGTGTACTTAGTTTTATACTCTCATTTTTCAGCTTTGGCCACTTTGCCCTGCTCCCTCCGAAAGTGCAAGCCTTGGGCAGGCATGGATTTTCTCGCCCCTGCCAATGGCCCTGTTGGCCTGACTGAAACTGCTTCCCCTCCACCAAAATATTTAAGTCAAACTACACTTATGGAACCTCTGTTCTGTGAAGTTTGCATTGGTCTTAACAAATATTAGTTGAGAGTGGTGTGGTAGTGGAATTAAGGATCAGAACAGTTGACAACTCTACTTTCACTGGTACCTTATGGAGGAACTAATAGCATTACTCTAAAAGGCTTCTTGAGACAAGATAAATGGTTGTGAGGCAAGGGCTAGGGGCCTAGTCCTAGTCCTAGCTCTGTCATATGGATGCTCTGAATTCCACTGCTGGACTCAATCTTTAACCTTGGGTTTGGGAAATTGTGGGAGAAAAAGAGAAATCTTGTTTTCTGGCAGTCTTTTCACTGTGAAAGGATGGTGCCTTTTTGACTATATAGGAAGATCCTCAGAGCCGTATCTCTATGGGTTCAGGCAAAAGCAAATTTGGCTCAGTAAAATCAATTCAGCCCGTAGTTTTAAGTAGATCCTCTTGTTTAGTCCAAATTAGGAAGCAGGATGTTACCATAGTCTATTTGTCAATTGTTTTTTTAAAAACTTGTTCTACCTTATTTAAATCAACACCCTGTGATAATCTAGGCCCAAGACTTTCAAGAACAAAAAGCAATTCTGGGTGCCCCATGCGAGACACCTTTTATGAGGATTTTCAGAAGTGCTGAGCATCTGCCTTCTGAGATCAGGCTTTCTTAAAGTGCCTCAATTTAGGCATCTGAATTCCCAGCTGCAGTTGAAAATCTTGGTTCTTTAAATAGGATGCAATTTCCTCATTTTCCAGACTCCTTCACCAAGTGCTTTTTACCAAAAACCATGACATAAAACGTGTCCACAAAACAGTCAAATGAATGAGAATATATAAGAACAGATGAAATTGTGGTGATGACAAGGGATGAGTAAAAACAAAAAGACAGGGGGAAAGTGCATCATTCCTTAGTTTTTAAAAATGTACTGACCAGCATTTTCTCTTCCATGACAATTTTAAAATAACGTCCCGTAGAGGGGGGGAAAAACACCCAATGGATGATAGAGAAAATTGGACCAAAATACTAATCCTGCCAGGCACAACTCTGAGCAAGCAGATACAACCGATAAATAACTTGTAGAAAAAATCCACCATAAGTGTAGATGGGGTTTTAAAAAAGCAAATATATAACCATTGAACTACATAATAAAAGAAAGACAGGGCACACACTGTGATAGGCACTTGTACCAGATCCTCACACACGCTGTCCAAGACAAAACTGCTTTCAAGTAAAAAATGAGTAGGCCGTCAGAAGCCACTTAGGAATTCATAAATTCAAACAGCCAATTGCATACTAGCTAGCCCTGCTGCTATCCTCTCTCCCAAATAATATCTGGATTTTATATATAGAATGTCCATTTGAGAATTGACGAGGGGGGCTGGGTTTTTTAAAGGCCAAATTTCAGCTGTGAAAGTATGGTAGTTGCTTCTTGTTAGCTGTGTTACTTTGTCCTTTGTCTTCATCTGAGATTTTTGTCCAGCAATAGCTTTGCAAAATAAGACCAAGTCCTATTTCCTCGAAGGCCTAGTCACCTTTAAAAGTCAACAATGTCTGTGTGGGTCCTGGTGCCTGACAATTGTAAATCTGTGTAATTCCAGGGTCTAACCCAGAGACTGATAAATTGGATCAAGAGCAGCGCTGTTTTATCTAACCCTCCTCACAACTGTTTGAACGTTGGGAATTTGATTATAGTGAGAGATGGATATGGACAACTCGAAGTAAAAAAGCATCACATGTAGGCTCCTAAATCACATAGGCACCTCTGAAAGTTTTTTACCCATCACTTTGTTTTTTTGCAAAACAAAATGCCAGCCCAATGAATGTTTGCAAAAATCAATAGCAATCTTTGATTTTGTAAAATATTACCATAAAGGCTATAGAATCTAGGCTGCCACTTTGACAAGTAAAATGTACTTTATCAACACCTGATTCTGACAAATTCCTCTGTTCCATCTTCAGCTACAGGAAAATGAGCCAGAAGAAAGTGGTAAAGCAATGTATTGAATTAGTTCACTCTGCTGCCTCTCCAGGTCAAGACAGCTCGGTAGTGAGTACATAATATTTCATAAACAGCATGCCCACTGCCATCTTAGTTGTAGATCCCATTTACATCCAACGCAGATAAAATTAAACAAATAGGACTAGATTAGAATACCATTTTTTCTTATTTATAGTGACTAAATTATCCATACTTTGTTTATTTTGTTATCTGGAGAATGTTTTGAACAATCTCCTCCTCCTAGCACAATATGCCATTTCAACAAACATTATATACGGAGCAACTGCTACTGAAACATTCACCTTACATCAAAGGGTCATGTTCTCATACTAGACTTAGCTCAGGTGCAATATTAAATTGCTGGAAATTAGAAACACGCTCACCAATGGTGTTTAATATTGACTAATAAATGGAAAACAACGCTACCCCTGGAGGCGAGAGGCTATGAAACCAACATGTATTAAGGAAACAGGAATTCTTTTATTGCCCCGTATGCTCAGATCAATACGAAGGTGATCTTTTTGGATGCCTATATAATATATACAAACTTATTATTGCCAAGATTCTCTGAAGTGCCTAGTGAGTTTGGGTGCCCAAAGTGAGATCGTTTAAAAGGGCCTGACTTTTTAGGAAGTGTTAAGCACCCACTCGCTGAAATCAGGCCTCCATTAAGGTGGCTCAGGTTGGGCATTCAAAATCTCAAGTTAGTTTTGAAACTCTTGGCCCATATTTTGTTGGTATGTAATATGGACAAATCCCTGTCAGCATTCATTGGGCTGACAGGCTTGGAAATGCCAGGCACTGGGACACAAACAATATTGGTGATATTACCATGTCCAGATAAGAAAAATGTATTCTTGCTTTCTTCAAGGGATACATCCAATTTCTTTTAGTCCTGGATTTTAACTATTGTGTGTAACAAAACGTGTTTCATGTTTTTCTTTCAGGTATGGGAAGATAACTTTCTAATTTTGCTTTAAGTGCAGAATCACCTTGGAAGAAATTATTTCTACTAGGGTTTCCAAAACATCTGGCTAGTAACAATAAACTAATAAATTCAGCTGAGGAAAGCATAAACCAGATTCCCTTTGTCCAAATATTGTCGTATTTCTGCTGCTAAAGTGAAACCTACCAAGAGACCATGTTTTAAATAAGTATAAATAACATTAATTAGAATTTGTTGAATGCAAAGATAAATGAAATTCACCAGAACACAATTAACGTTTATAAACAGTGTAGCAGTAATATTCATTTCTAAAGCGAGATCGTCACCATCCTGTTACCCCGCAAAGAGAACTGTCCTTTCTTACAGATGATTTAAATAATTTCGACTGTGCTGCTCGCAGCATCATTCAAAAAGAAAATATTAATTTACAAAATAACAATTCTCCATATTTATTATGACAAATAAAAATCTTAAATAAAACAGGCTTTCTTTCCTCCTTCTCCCTCTCATTCCGGTTTCAGGTAGCTTGGCACTGAGTAATTGAACATTAAAAAATCAAGTTTGTAGACTTCGTACAGTTGTGTTTGGTGTTCCAAGCTGATGTTCTGGAAGAACTCTGTGGTCATTTCATCAGTAGTTCTCGTAGACTTTGCATAGGTGGGGAACTTCAGGTAACTGCCTACTCCTGCAAGTTGAAGGATGTAATTGGAATCATCTTCAAGTGTCTCATACTTTCCTATGAGGTCATAATGGATATGGCAGGGGTGACAGAGGGAGTAGACAGTTTGCCAGTGCTCATTGAAAGGTTCTTCTCTTTGGGTATGTGGGTCAATGAGATATGCCACAAACTCCTCGAATTTCACGTCGTCACCTTTACGCAGAGCCTCCTGGGTGGCATTTTTCCTTTGGCGCCTCACGATTTTGGTACCGTATCTCTTGTGAAAGGAGGTGTTGTACTTCTGGGTGAACTTGTTCCTGTAGGCTGACACCAGTCTCTCAAAAGGCTCGCGGACAAACAGGAACTTCATGTAGCTTTTTAAACGGTGGTTGATCTCTGGAATGCTGTACTGGTTGAGGGTCTTCAGGTTTGAGGATATATGGGCTTCATTGGCTGGTATTTCCATGGGGTCACTGTATTTGCCCCTTCCTGTCAAGACCATCATGATTCTCTTCCAGTTTGTACAGGCCACTTTGGGCACATAACAATAGATCATTTCATGATCTTCATCCACCACCAAATGTTTGAGATCGTTGGGTGTCAGCACACGGCGTTTCCTGCTAGACATGCTGTTGGCTCGACATGTATCTGTGACTTGGTCTCTCCTAATCTGATGAAGGATTGCTGTATTAGACAACTCCAACTGGAAAGAAAACATAGATACAAATAATTCAGTACACATGGGAAATTCTTGTTGTTTTTTTTACTTACTAGGTTAATCCCCACTGCTCCATTTGTAGAAAAACAGACCATTGCAAGCACCATATTTGAAAGACTTAATTCTTTGGCTGAATGCAGTAATTCCAAAGTTGCAGGATAACCTTTTACCTCCAAATTTCTTGATCTGAGCTGGTACCAATGTGGTCATTAATATTTTACTGCTTTCCCCTTCGGCAAGGGACTGTGCAATCCTATGTTTCTTGGCAGCACATTTATTTGCCATGCAATTTTCCTGAAATATCGTTTTTTTCTTAGATATAGAAAAAGAATCTCTTCTGACCACTGCAGTCAGACTCATTTCTATAGAAGTACAGAACCCAGCCTGACCTTTACTGCTGAGACATGGCTGGAGAACACCATTGTCAGACAGTTTGCCAAAACAAAAACAGCATGTGATCTTGTTGCAGATGTCTTTCACACTACAGAATTAATAATCTCAGCTCATTTCTTGGTTATAACCTTGTCATGTGAAATAAAACCCAGGGAGATTTCTGCTTTTCCAAGGAGAGTAGTCACTGAAGTGGTATCTCGAGGAGCAGGAAGAGAATTCTAACTATAACTTCCCACCTATTGATTTGTGTTTAGTAGAGAGTGGTGAAGAGTATGCAGCCTTTTAACACGCTAGTACTGCGAACACGTTACCCTTTATTATTTTGTTAAGTTTCTTAATTTTTTAACTGTTGTAGGCAGAGTTTTGTTGTGGGTTGTTGATGGGGCTAGCTGCTATTGTCAATTAACTTATGTCATACACATAGAATGCTATTAGGTGCCTTTCTGGCATATTTAGAAGGAATATCCATCTGAAGATTTCATAGAGCTTTACAAATCCTAATTAACTGAGCCTCCCAATGCCCTCCCCTCCCTGCGCTGTACTGTAGTTAAGTATTAATATTTCTATTTTACAGATGGGAGAAATACGAGACACTTGGGTTAAGCACTGAAATCTCACCCAGCTCACAGGTGCCTAACTCCATTGACAGTCGGCACCTAATTCCCGTAGGTGCTTTAGAAAATCCCGCTCAGTGACATTAATGCTTTAGGGTATGTCTACGTGGCAGTCAGGAGGTGTAACTGCAGCAGGCATTGACATACCCAAGCTAACTTGAATAATAGAGGTAGTAAAGCCATGGCAGAACAAGTGGCTGCACAGGCTAGCCCACCTGCCCACAACACAGGGCACAGGCTTGAGTGGCCACTGTCTGTGCATGTCTACGCATGCTGGAATCACAGCTCCTGATTGCAGTGTAGACATACTCTTAGTTCAACTAAACCAGTGCTAGTTTGGATCTATGTCAGTTTAACTAAATTGATGTAGCTGGTGCAATTCCCTTTAGGTTGGTTTAGGAGTGGGGGCTTTTTTTTTTTTTTTTTTTTTGCAGTTTAGTCCCTAGGCAATTTTATTATAGGTTGAACTAGGCTTGCTTTATCTGATCACCCTTACAGGTTAAAAATCACACCTTTCATTTAAACAGGTGCTGCTCTGCATAGTACAGCAGTGTTATCAATTCTTGCGACTTTACTACAAGTTTTACAAACTTTGGTACTTATATTGACACCCCGGTTCCTGGCGTTATGCGTGAGATTCTCAGCTTTCATTAAAAACATATCTAGCCTTCATGGTTGGGGAGAAAAGGTTGAAAATGTGACCCAAATGCAACCTAAAGGTTAAAAAAAAAAATCAGAAGGCCAATAACTTGATTTTTGGCTGAATCATGAGAATATTTTTAACATTGAATATTTGGGGGTGGTGATACTGTTGTATACAAGGCCTAGCTGGTAAAACTCTCCCCAGTGCAGAAGGCCAGCACAAAGGACACAGTTAGGCTTCAGTGGTGCATAAGCTAAGTGGTGAATGGGCCTTATGCTAGCTCTCTGCATAGGGGAGAATTTCCCTCCCTCTCAATTGCTGCAGGTTGGAGAGGAAACTGCCACAATCGGGACTGGAGCTCCGATTCGGTACGTCACAAATTTTTTGCATTTAAGGCCCAGTTGAGCAAAGCATTCACATATTTGCTTAAGTCCCATTTAAGCTAGACAGACTCCTAAATAGAAGAACTATTTAAAAGTCCAACTAAACCTCCTGTTTTTGAAAAACTTGACCCACACTGTTAATGTGAGAAGGTCTGGCTCAATGTCCCTGGTTAAGCATGTGCTTAAGGGCTTTGCTGAACAGGAATGGATTTAAGCATCAGGGCCTAACTTTGGCACAAGTATATTTAGCCTCTGCAAATGTAAATACATAAGGAGAGAGAAAATTACTGCTTTTTGCTAGAAAGACCATCCTAGCTACTGCAGGACAAGGTAACTTTCTCAGAGTTGATCATGTCATTCGGGTGACCCTACACTGCAATTCCAGTTGCTAGGACATTATTACATTTACACAGTGAATTTCACCCTGAAGGATCCCCAAGCACCACTGAAATGCTGTCACCTTTGCAACATGGGTGGTGGCAACAACAGGCATACGGCATGCTCCACAACAATGGGGAAAGGAGGGGCAACCTCCTCAGGCGACCCACGTGTTTCAAAAATAGGAGGTATGGATGGGCTTCTAAATCCCTATTTGGGCACCTTAAGTGGCCTGTCTTCCCCCCAAGTGCTGAGCCACTGAGATTAGTGGGACCTGCTGGGTTCTTGCCACTTTTGAAAAGCGGACTGCTCATTTAGTTGACTAAATTGGGATTTAGGAGCCTAACCTCCTACTTCTGCAAGGCTTGGCCCTGATTAATATGTCAATGTTTGAACATTTAAGTGCAGTTGGTGACCCGCTTACAGAGTACTATGGAATCTTTAGTGTCTATGGAGAGGAGACAAGCTGGTTTTGTGATTCATTTAAAATATTAATGATCAAGCAAACAACTATTTAAATATTTCAATTGTTTTATTACAGGAAAAAATCCCGGCTTTGCAAAAAATTACAGAACTAGGTAGGAGACTGTTGTTCTAATCCTAGCCCTCCTAATCCACTGTGTGACTTGGGCAAGTCACTTCACTTCACTTCTCTGCACCTGTTTCTTCTCCTACCCTTCGTATTATCTGTTCAGATTTTCAGATGTCAGCCAGAGACTGTTCCTGGCCCCTGCCCTGTGTGTCTGGACAGTGCCTAGCACAATGGGTCTCTGATATTCATTGGGGTCACCAGGTATTACTGTAATACAAATAAAATGAAAACCAGCCATTCTACCTTCTTTGCCTCTTTCCCAGAGTTTTAATCCATACACAATGGCCTAACACAAGCAGTGCAGACAATCTGGATCATCTCCTGTGTGTGGCATTCCTCTGAATGTTGGCCAGGCGCATTTAAAGGGCAGTTTGATGTTACAGTCCTGGAGATGGGAAGAACAATCTACAGTTGGCTTCCCATGTCCTATGGAAGTCGACTAGCAGGGAATTTGTACGTAGGATGTCTAAATGCTGTTGTCCAGGATCACACTGCTGTTTAAAGAAAATGTCTTTTCTGAGGGTAGGGGGGAAAGAAATAAGAAATTCAACAGCTGAAATTGGTATTCTCTTCACAAAGCTACACGTGCAACATTATCCATTAAATTAACTGGAGTTACACAAGAGATTAATTTTGCCCATGGTACTGAACAAAACACTGCTCTTCATATGGGTAGAAACACCCCTGTTTTAGTTAATGGCAAAATTGACTTCCGTTGACAGCAGTAGGAGCAGGATAGGGCCCAGTACCTTATTTTACTTCCAGATTCAGAACAACTTCTAAAGTTTGCAATATTCTAATGTGGGTGTTTTCTTGTGGCTCTGTTTTTGGACTATATAGAGGAATTACTGGGAGATGTTCCATGGCCTGTGTTATATAGGAAATCAGTGAAGATGATGTAATGGTCTCTTCTGGCCTTAAAATTTATGAATGAATCTTTGCAGTGCTATACTTTTTACTTCCCCTTCCATATAATTAGTCCTAGAGTTTCTCCTCTCGGGGCATATGCACATTACCATTAATGGGAATTTCATATATCCAGGCAAAAGAGAATAATGTCCCATTTTGGTTTGCAACTAAACTGGGTTGCCCACCATTGAATTCACTCTTTAAAGGGCACATTCCAAATTGGTGCTTATTGTGCCTTTTGCTCTTTCAATATGCAGAAACTACTTGGGCACAGTTAGGTCCCAATTACCACATAGACTAAAAAGACACAAATATATCAGGCCTAGCTACATATATACCACTGCTCTGGGTCTGGCGGCTTCGAAACCACAGAATACAATGAGCACCACTAGAGGGCTCACTAACTATTTAAAAACCCACTCTATTTAAGAAAAAGAAAAGGAGGACTTGTGGCATCTTAGAGACCAACAAATTTATTTGAGCCTAAGCTTTTGTGAGCTACAGCTCACTTCATCGGATGCACTGAGTGGAAAATGATGAAGTGAGCTGTAGCTCACGAAAGCTTATGCTCAAATAAATTGGTTAGTCTGTATTTGCAAAAAGAACAGGACTACTTGTGGCACCTTAGAGACTAACACGGCTGCTACTCTGAAACCACTCTATTTAATATACACTCTACAGCACTTGAACTATTCAGCCATCCCCAGAGCATGGAAGACAATCAACACCAAGCAGGAGACCTGCGACTGGGAGCTTCACTCTAGACTTTTGCCTATTGGGTCAGATTTCTTGAAGAGCGCACTAGCTTCACTGCTGTTGCAAGGTGGTGTAACTGCGGTGAAATCAATAGTTGTGCTACCTTTCATAGATATTAAGGTCAGAAGGGACCATTATTGATCATCTAGTCTGACCTCCTGCACAACGCAGGCCACAGAATCTCACCCACCCACTCCTGCGATAAACCTCTCACCTATGTCTGAGCTATTGAAGTCCTCAAACCATGGTTTAAAGACTTCAAGGAGCAGAGAATCCCCCAGCAAGTGACCCGTGCCCCATGCTACAGAGGAAGGCGA